ATTTACGAACTGTGTCCGTAAAAATTTACATCGCTTAGGTAGGTTTTCCTTTACGGCTATGTTTATATGGCTAATACTGAAAACTAAGATTAATGTGTAAGGCTACAAGGGTGTAGGGCACATAACATTATAGGTACTCACACAAGCAGGTACTACAAACTTGGGGTGCGTGGTCCGGAACCTCCTTGTGGTGCACCCTGGGCAACGGAGACGGCAGCGCCTCTCTCCCTAGGTGGGGGAGGCGCTGCCGCCTGCGGCCAATTCCGGCCGAGGTGGGAACGGCCCGTCAAGGGCTGTTCGGAGGGCCGCTTTCCGCGTGTCCCTCTGTTTGGCAGAGGGCATAGGGGAGAGCGGGCTGGGGGCGGACGGGTCCACTGCAGCTGGCTCTGTCCAGAGGTGGGGGACACTGGTCTGACGCAGACCACCGTCCGGCCATGTCGTAACCCTGACTGGCAACGGTCAGGAATGACGGCTCTTCGAGGGCTACGAGGAAGGCAACCTCTATAAAAAACCTTGGGGCGGACGGACCCGGTCTGGTGCAGACCCCGTCCGGCCCAGCCGTAATCCTGAATGGACAGGACCGGTGGATCTTCGGATCCGCGAGGACGTAAACCTCTATAAAAAATGCTCTAAGCCCACGTTCTGACGCCTGGCAAGGGGCTGAGTCGCTGGAGGGAGTCCAGTGCCGAAGGCGTCCCCGTCGAAGGACGTTAAACTAACTTTATGACATGGGCCCAAAGATTTTTAAATCTACCCAGGAGGGTACCAGACGCACTGCGTCTGGAGAATCCCTCCCGGAGCCAGACGGCTCCGGCAGCTCCCAAACGTACTCTGGGGGGAGCAACCTCTGTCTAACCTGCCCGTCGCCGAGCAGTAAATCCGGCACCCAAAAAAACGCGGAGGACGCAAAAAACCTGGAGGTAGTGTCGAACACCGACACTGCCTCAGAGATGAGCGAAGCGAGTACCCCGATGGTCTCAGCTGCGGAGCAGCACCAGAAGGGTACTCCAAAGCGCAAAAGGCGCTCGCTTCGCCTTGGCCTGAAGAGGCAATTGGAGTCGGCCTCGAGCGATGAGGCCTCGGCTCCCAAAGTCGGCACAAGCCGCAGAGGCGCTCGCGGCGGAGGCCGACTCCCTAGGGTTGCCCAGGAGCAGAAGAAGGAGCCCCCACGCTCCTACGAAGCTCCCGTGAAGAGGGTCGCGTCCGAGAGGTCGATAGACGTGACCGAGGTGAGGAGCGAGAAGGAGGGTGGCAAAACCGGCAACCCCGTCGACCGGATTGAGGAGGCAATCGGCCAGGCCGATTGCTTGCTTCGGACGTCCGGGTTGGCCGGGGGCCCCCAACAGGAGGCCCTGGTAGCGGTAGTGCGCTCCATAATTGAGGCGGGCAGACTCCTCGTGGCCGAGAGCAAGGCCCACGCTAGGGAGAGAGACCGCCTCGAGGCGGATCTCGCACAGGCTCGTGCTCACGCTAGTGCCACACCAGCGCCTTCGGCACCGTTGGCGCTGTCCGCCCCGGAGCCGGAGCCGAGCTTAGTCCGACTCATGGCGGAGATGGAGGAGCGGATAATGAGGCGCATCTCCGCTGTAGAGAGCGCCCGTTGTCGCCCACCTCTGGCTCCGCCAAAGACGACATATGCGGCCGCTGCCAAGGCGGGCCTAACAGCCCAGCCAGCAGCTAGGGTGGCTGGGCCGTCATCAGCGCCCCCGCCCCAGAAGGCCGGAAAGGGCAAAGGGAGGGGGAAGGCGGCCCCAACCCAAGCCCCAGTCTCGGCCCCGGCTGACACCGCACAGCGCTCGTTGGAGCGGGGCTGGACGGTGGCCGGGGACAACAAAAAGAGGCGGAAGGCCGCCAAAAAAGCGGCCAAGAAGGCGAGGAGGGACGCCGCCGCCGCCGCGAAGGGAGCGCCGAGGAAGCTCCGCGCCCCTCGCTCCTCGGCCGTCGTTATCACTTTGACGGCGGAGGCAGCGGAGAGGGGCGTGGGGTACGCCGAGGTCTTGACGAAAGTCAAGGCCAACGTGGACCTCAAAGCCCTCGAGATTCCGGGCGTCCGGTGTAAAAACACACGGACGGGAGCCCGGCTCCTCGAGGTAGCCGGCGCTACCAGTGGCCCCAAAGCCGATGCCCTAGCGGCTAAGCTGAGGGAGTCACTGGATGCAGCTGACGTCCGAGTGTCCAGGCCCACTAAATGCGCCGAAGTCCGCATCACGGGCCTGGACGACTCTGTCACGGCGGACGAGCTCAGACTCGCCGTGGCGGAGACGGGAAGCTGCCCTCTGGACAGCGTGAAGGCCGGAGCAATACGCTTCGGCCCCGGTGGACAGGGGGCAGCGGTTGTCAGCTGCCCCATCGCGGCGGCCCAGAAGGTCGCCGATGGACGGAGCCTCCTGGTCGGAGGTTTCCTGAGGGCGCAGGCACGGCTCCTGCAGGCCCGACCGGCAAGGTGCTTCAGGTGCCTGTCGGTGGGTCACGTAGGGGTGCACTGCACGGCGGAGGCCACCGTAGGTGACCGATGCTTCCGCTGTGGCCAGCCCGGTCACAAGGCGGGTGGCTGCAACGCTCCGCTGCGTTGCTTTAGGTGCGCAGCGGAGGGCAAGCCTGCCGACCACCGGGTTGGTGGTAAGGCCTGTGCCCTATCGCGACCGAAGCCGGGAGGCCGACCTTCCGCCTCCGAGCCGCTGATCCAGACGGAGAGTGCCGCTGGACAGCCGCAAAGTTCGCTGCGGGATGCGGGGATGGAAGTCCAGTGATGGATCCACATCTCCGCATCCTCCAGGTGAACGTAGGCCACGGTGCCGATGCTCAGGATCTTCTGCTCCAGAGCATGGCACAGTGGTCCATCAACATCGCCGCTATCGCCGAGCCATATGTCCATCGGTTCCTCGGGCCTGCCTGGGAGACCGACTTGGACGGCACGGCGGCCCTGGTGCACGGTACCGCAGCCGGCACTCCACCTCTTGCAGTAGTTGCAAGGGGACGGGGCTGTGTAGCGGCGATAGTTGGAGATATAGCGGTCGTGGCCGCTTATTTCACGCCGAACCGAAACATAACTGAGTTCGAGCAATGGCTCGCTCAGCTGGCCGTCGTCGTCGATGCCTGTCGCCCCCACCCGGTTCTTGTGCTGGGGGACTTCAACGCCTGGTCGCAGGCTTGGGGTTCCCTGCGCACGAACCCGAGGGGCAGGGCATTGGAGAACTGGGCTGAAAGATTCGGCCTAGTTCTCCTAAACCGGGGGGCCGTGGCCACGTTCGTGACGGCGAGGGGTAGTTCGATTGTGGACATCTCGTTCGCATGCCCCTCGCTAGCGCGTCGTGTCCAAGGCTGGCGCGTCGTTGTCGGGGAGGAGACAGGTTCGGATCACCGATATATTCGGTTTGACGTCTCCGCCCCTACAGATGGCGCACCGGTCAGACCGGCACCACCTGAACCACGTTGGGCGCTCAAGCGCTTAGATCGCGACCTCCTCCTGGAAGCCGCCATCGTACAGGCCTGGGCTCCTGCGCCGGACAGGCCTGTCGACGTCGATGATGAGGCACAGTGGTTCCGGGAGGCCATGACCCGCGTCTGCGATGCGGCGATGCCTAGGGCTCAGCCCAATACTGCGAGGCGCCAGGTCTACTGGTGGTCGCCGGAGATCGCACGGCTGCGTCAAGCCTGCGTGACCGCGCGCCGCCAGTGGTCCAGGTTCCGCAGGAGGCGTCGCCGCCCCGAAGATGCGGCAGCGAGAGAGGCGGAGCTGTTAGTCCCTATGCTGGCCATCAGGATCATAAGGGGGTACCGCACGATCTCCTTCGAGGCGGCGAGTCTCCTGGCCGGAACTCCACCGTGGGACCTGGAGGCGAGAGCCCTTGCAGCACTGTATCAGTGGCGCAAGGAGGCGCAGGAGTTGGGTCGATGCCCCGAGATTCGAGAAATCGATGACCGGAAATCCCAACTCCGCCAGGTCATCATAGGGGAGTGGAGGGAACGACTCGGGCAACCGAGCGCCGGGCACGCCGTCATTGCGGCGGTAAGACCCGTTATGGAGGATTGGCTCGAGAGGCGTCACGGGACCCTCTCATACCGATTGACGCAGGTGATCACTGGGAAGGGATGTTTCGGAGATCACCTGTGTCTGATCCGCAAGGAGCCAACGCCTGAGTGCCACCACTGCGATGGCCAGACCGTGGACACGGCTCTCCACACGCTGGCAGAGTGCCCGGCGTGGGTTGAGCAGAGGCGAGACCTCGTGGCGGCCATCGGAGTGGGAGTTCTCTCGCTCGATAGCCTGATTGCGGCTATCGTGCGGAGCGAGAGTGCGTGGAACTCTGCCGTCTCCTTCTGCGAGCAAGTTATGCTCGCGAAGGAGACGGCGGAGCGGGACCGGGAGAGGTTTAGAACTCTCCCGGCCCGCCAGGCCCGGGCACGGGCCAGGCAGCGCAGGTCACTCAGGCGCCGGAGGTCGCAGAACGACCTCCGTCCTCCATAAGCGCAGGCCTGGGGGTGACAGGTGAGGCCATCTGTCACCCTAGCAGAAGCAGGCCGGGGTGGCGGCGAGCGCGTTGCGAAGCGCGCTCGCTTTCAGGGAGCACAGGGAACATGGGGTTCCCACACGGGGCGGGGGTCGTCTACTCGTCTGTAGATGACCCGAGGTATGTCGGGGCACCAGGGCCTTCCTTTCTAGGGTATACCTGGTTCCCCGGCTATTAGTACCCGGCGAAGGCGTGCGGTTTTAGTCGGTTCGGGTCCGACATGCCACCGACAGGTGGTATCCGAGGGGATTTCCGCACGGAAAAAAAAAAAAAAAAAAAAAAAAAAAAAAAAAAAAAAAAAAAGGTACTACAAACTTGTTTTGCTGATTTCCTTACTAGACTTACACAGCAAGGAAATCAACAAAATAACATTTGTCTGAAAAAGACAATGTTGTTATTTCCTTTTCAGAAAAACATTATCTCTTAGTAAATTACTCATGATGTTTATATTAGTCACACAATCTCTACTTACTTAAACAAAAATAAGTTATGTATCTGTTTCTTTCAACATGTGGTATCATCAAGCGGTTGGTCTACCTGTATTTTGAATTTCTATTCATTAAAACAGCATTGTTCAGTAAGCGGGTTGTCCGATCAGCCACACAAACTAACACATAGATAACACCGTTAACTGTAAAGGCATATTATCGAGTCTGCCTTGTGTTTATTTACGTCCATCGTATTGTTTGTATACAGCCCGGCGCGACTGCGCATCTGTCTACGTCATTACTCTCCCCCCTCACTTGATCCCCCGCTGAGACCTGTTACGTTAGGTCGGCGGCTCGTCCGCTCGTCGCTCATTCAGTTGGCATTTGGCATTCGCAAACATCGTAGCGCGCCGCCTACAATACCGGTACGATCTCTAGTCCCTTGCTAAATCAGTCTTAAGTTTCTGATCGTGGTATTACTTTAATATGTTGAAAGAAAAGTCAAGATATGACAATCGTCATTCCTCCGAAGAAGATGGCCGTCGGCTAGCGTCTAACAGATTACCAGCTATTGAGGAACTGACCCTAGGTCTGAAACAAAAGCTTCATCTGCAGGCTCGAGCTCGTGCTGCACCTTACTACATTAGAAAACAAGAACCTGTCGATCTTGTTGAAAGATTGCTGGAACAACGTGCCCTTGTCGCCGAAGCTGTTCGGAGATTACAAGAAAAGAAACAACCGTGTCATGAAATCTCTGTAGATTCATAATTTATAAACAAAACATTTTAGTTGTGAAAGTGTCGGACGGACGTGTTGTGAAATCGCTTGTGTGTAACGTGTCGGGTTACAATGGTGCTATATGCGGAGAGTGTGCATGAAAGAGATAGCCACCAATGACGTGTCCCGCACTATACGAGTCACGAGAACAAACCAAAATGGCCGCGAGTACTCTACAATCATAATATTTATTCTTCGTTTTTATAGTGACCTTAACTGATCATGATCAAAGTACTGAATGACGTAACTAGTCTTTAATATTGTTATACATTCTAAAGTACTTATTTCCAAAACTTTATGTCAGAATCGCGCTGAGACATATTCCATCTACTTAAATTAACTAGTACGAAGTATATCTAATGCAAGAGCTTTAATTATTGTTTATGTAATAATTTAAATTATTTTATAGTAAATGTTCGTCCTCATTCATACATATAAAGCTTTTACTTTGTAAAATTCTTTATAAGTTAAACTGATTTTTCATTACAAAGCGCCTAGTAATACACCTGCCTGTCTAAACGCTCACAATCAATTCAATTGGGTCATTGTTAGTGTATAAAAACTTTCAAAAAGTGATTGTAGAGATAACAGTACATATTTACATTAAAACAAGTACAGTTACTTGTTACTTCCTCGCATGCAGCAGTTTAGAAACAGTCCATTTTAAATGTCGCACAATGTGATTTCAGAAAGTAGGCGTCTATCTACTTCGATGGACAACACGTAACCTAGACAATTTTTAGGATTTAGTAATGTAAAATTCCTATTTAGCTAATACTTTATTTCATCTTTGTAATAACTATGTACAATTGTACCAAATTACCGTATTTGGTATAAAAATCATAATGTTACACGTGTGCATGTTTTAGTGCATTTTGTGATTTTTAGGTAGTTTAATTTATCATCGATCTTGTGATTTAGGTAATATTTAAGTAAGTACTAAAAGGAATGAATTTCAGGAAATACTTTTTTTGAATTACATTCTTGAATTTAGCTGTACAAAATAAAAAAAAATAGAAATCTACGCAACTTTCAGTGTTAGATCTATTTTTCGTCGAATAAATATTTGATGATTTTAAAGAACATCTTTTATTTTGTTAATAACCTTTTTTTAGACAAGCAAAAAACAGTAACCTACTTCTCTTTTCTTCTTAGTAGTAGAGAGTAGATCACTTGGCCTCGAAATGTTTTTGTTTACACGAGAATGAATGAACTCCCAGCTCCACTTGGTGTCATTAACATGAAATTATTAAATTAAATAGTTTCTTAATGTATATTGTCATTGCAGCCCTGCAATACTTGATTTATGATAAGTTTAAGTGCTCTGTTCAATGTTTATACCAAATTTTATAATAGCATCGTTTTTAGCATAAACTTAATCAGGAGCGCTCACGATAATATTATTGTAAAATAATCCCAACAAACATTATGTTAGTAAGTCTATACAATTTGCTCACAGGAAAAATACGTTAATGTAATAAAATCAATTATTTTTTTATGGGTAGGTAGTTACACCATTCTAAGCAAATTTCGTTACCGTTACAGACATGTATTTGAAATGCATTTGTTTAAACGTAGAAGTGCAAAAACTTAAATATTAAAACAATGTGATAACGGCTACAAAAATCTAAAAATTTGTAGGTATCTGGTGATCTGACATGTACACTAGGTTTATGCTACAACAATAAATGTAACTTACAGTACCTAGTCAAGGATATAAAACAACAGAACATTCAGTTTAAAAAAATACTATTGTTTTAAATTTTACTATCATGCTGTCTTCTATAACGACAAATAATAAACATTAACAACTTCTGCCAATTTACGTTAATGTTTATTTACCTCATCAGCTGACGCTGTACTGATAGTAAAACTAAATAGATTGTAATACTGCCATCTACTGGTGAATAGCACGATCAATTAGAGACAGAGATAAAAATGTATAACCCCGAAACCGATTCGGTGTAATATAAGGTCTAAGGTAGAAATTTTCTAAGCAATGCTTTAAATTAAATAGTATACGATCAAAGTTCAATAGATTGCTCACCCTTCTTGCTGAAATTTCGTAAGACTTGATAGTTTATCCCATATTTCTTTCTTAAGCTTACGTGGGTTTTCAAAATATGTACGTATTTTAAATAAAGGAATACTTTAATTTGTGCTTATGAAAATGAAACTGTTTATCACGTTTTTCAAAAAAACGATCTCTATTTTTATGAAAGTTAATTTGGTTTTCATAAAGATAATTTTGTCCGAATAACTATAATGATTATTTAAGTTCTAAATTGCTCGAACAGCATTCTTTTTCAGTATGATGAAAGATTGAATATCGGCGCCAGTGAGGGCACAAAAGGATACCATACGAGATAATACTATGAAAATGATTAAAAAAACCTAATCTGGCGGTTTCCATATCAGTCAGTTCACGAATTTTTCTTATTAACGTATTCGCTAATTGATGGGCCCTATTCGAGCTTAGAAATAAAACTCACTCCCTTAACCGTTATAGTACCTACCTACAGTGCCTGTACACCAAAACCCTACAGGAAACACGACAATAAAAGTAAAATATTTTGTTATTGTTGTAATTTTTATATAAACAAATGTGCTCACAAAATTCTGAGAACATTATCTAAAAAAGGATAGAGAAATAGTAAAACAGCTAATAAAAATAAATCCGCACCTTTGAAAATTCTATTATGATTTAAGAAAGTCTAGAAAAGGCATTCTTTTATGTTTCTATGAATGGGCGCAATACATTTTGCACTATTTCAAACATAGCGAATGAGAGTCAGATTGTTTGTTGAGTCATTGTTATTAAGCCAACTAGAACTAGAGTTACCTGCTAGGATAGTTCCTGGAAGGCAGGTCCTGCCTTAAACCACATGATGTTGTTGTTAATGCGAAACCATTAAACTAAATAGTTTGTAATGACTAGATCTGGGTACCTACTTCATTCATTACATGTAGCTGTTTGGTCCATATTAATACAACAATCACACCTATCTAGAGAATCAATAATGGTGGTTTTTCAGAATAAACATAATCAGAGCATCCATAATGATATTATAGTAATATTAATTAGTGCCAACTAGAATAGTTATTTTCAGTAAACCTAAATAATTTACATACAGGAAAAGGGCGTATGATGTTGGTAATGTATAAAAACAATAAACAAGAGATAAGATCAAATTAGATTGCTTAAAGTTTATACATTATACAAAGTTAAAATATTATTACAATGTGGTATAATTTTAAAATCATCTAAAACCGGATTCAGAAGCTTTAAATTTATATGTTTACCTGACAGAAAGTCTCTTTACAATGACAATACAACTTGTAATAGTCATAGTATCGCAGTAGTTGTCAAGGATACATTCAAAATTGAGCAATTGAAAATATGGTCAGAATTCGGCTACCATGCGAACTTTTGTAATGATAAATAAAGATTAGCTTAATAAGTTAATATTTATATTGTTTATCCCATCAGCTGACGCTGATGTATACACATACGCACCAGTACAGACAGTAAACATAACAGAAAAAAAATCATACTGCCATCTATTGGTGAATAGCAACAGCGCTTACAGTTTATATCTCCCCGCCACTCCAGTTGAGAAAAATATAATTATCTATGGTCAAAATTACTTTAGCTTTAAAATTAAATTCAACAGTTCAACACTGCAATTGAAGGCTTTGCAGGCAAAATTACTCGAACAACCAACTTTTTCATCACGTAGACAGATTGAATATCAGCGCGATATTCAATCTGTCTTCGTGAATAAGATACGAAATTTATTATGAAAATAACAAAAAAAAGACTAATGTGGCTATTTTAATATCAGTTAGTTCACGAATTATTCTAACTCTGAATGCTGCAGAGCTAAGTTTATTCGTTAATTTATCAATACAAAGCCCAATGGGTGATAGTATCATCTGAGAATTTCGTGGTATTAACTAATAGATTTATAGGTATGTAAATACCAATTATTTTTTGCTTTTTAGTTCCTAGGTGTTTTTAAGGCGGTTTCTTTTTTATTTAAAAATAATTTATAAGATTAAAGTATGTCAAAACGGTATTCTTTTGTATCTCTATGAAAGGTTGCAGTAAATGTGTATTGTTTTAAACATGCCAAAACGAGAGCCAGGTAGCGGCATTGTTTTATTTTTGTAATCTGATGGTGAAGAACATATGATATTCAAGTATGGGTTTATTTGTTCCTAAAATAGTAGATCTGTCAGCAAAATTAAATCAACAAATAACATTAAAACGGTAACTTAAATATTAATTAAGAATTACTTGGAAATAATATCAGTCATCAAATAATTGTATTGGGTTTCAAAAAATAGAAGTGTCACCAGTAATTAATCACCAAACAATGTATAAAACTTTATTTTAAAATGTATTTATTACACTAAACATATTAATATACTTGAAAATAATATCAAATTTTAAAAATTCTAAACAGTCATCTTTTTAACAATTGATAATCTTTCTCCAGGACATAACGAAGAAATCTGGGTGGTAATAAGTTTTTCTCTTTTTACCACCCAGATAAATCATAGTCGTAAAAGACATTTTTTTTCATTTTTTTATACTTGCAGGCGGTTCATTGTTGGTCTCAACACTAACCTAACACGGTAAATGAGGTTATCTTTTTACGCCATATCTCTGAAACGGTGCGTCTAAACGTAACTAACGTTTATTTAGGCCCCCTATGTCAGCCCTAAACACCCCCATCACCACCAATTAAAAAGATATACTTAAAGTGTAGAAAGTCAAAATTTTTATATTTTGCCTTGCCAATTATATCTCGTTTCTCTACTTATTCGGTGACAGATCTATCATTTTGATGACATATATTATCATTCAATTATTTCTTGAAACTGTAAATGAACGTCAGCTATACTACTAATCATGTTTATCTCATCAGCTGGCTTTGCAACAATTAACCTAAATATATTTTATTACTGCCATCTTCTGGTGAATAGCATGATCGATTAGAGTGAACGTATATCACTGGTCACTCCTCCCAAGTTGGTGAAAATATGGTAACTAGTCCTATATAAATTTAGTTCAAAATTATCTTGACAAAGGCAAAGCTTTAAAAGTCAATCGTATACGAATTATACGATCTAAGTCAAGCACTTTTTTTTTTTAATTTATTATCTATGGTAAAAAAAAAGAAAAATGAAATGTAAATATTTTTATTACGAAGTTAGCTTTAGTTTATATAAATGTTAGGAATAAGGTGTACAACAAATATAATCAGTAACCGATTCAAGTCTATTAAGTTTTGTCGTAACAAGCCAGCCTTAGCCAATATCGTTGAGCGTAATCTATTTCAAACACATAATCGCTTATCATATCAAAGTGTTTTATTGTGCAAGTCAACTACAAACTCTACAAAGTTCAGTATCGGTTTGTCATCGAAGATGGCAGCTACGTGGTCCATGGGTCCTGGAACTTACGAAGTGCCACTCTCGCTGTTCGTTAAGAATAGAACTCGCCTTGCAAGTAAACTAAAAAGTGGTCAAGTTGTAGTTTTGCAGGGTGGTGAAGACGTTAACCATTATGATACAGATGTTCAGTATGTGTTTAGACAGGTATTTATTACATTATTAATATCTACATGCTTTATGTACATAAGTGTCGTATAACAAATGCTACTTGAGAAAAGCAAACAATTGCTAAATGTCTGCTTTCTAGACTATGCCTTTTTACCAACTTTATGTCTCCTGGTTGTGTAGGAAGCCTATTTTACCTGGGTATGTGGTGTTCGTGAGCCAAGCTGCTACTTTGCCTTGGATGTGACTACCAACAAGTCCATTCTATTTGTACCACACCTTCCTGAGGAGTATGAGGTCTGGATGGGCAAGCTGCTAAGCTGCAATGACTTCAAAAAAATCTATGGGGTTGATGAAGTGTATTATGTGGATGAGGTACAAATAACATGTTCATATTATTCACTAATTATTATCCTAACATTAGTCTGATACATGCCTTTTCAAGCTTGTATCATAATAGATAAATACTGTCTTGTGTTTTTGATGAAATATTTGGCATACATTGTAAACTCTTTATAACAAAACTCAAGAAACATCATATTGAGTGAAGAAACAAAAACAACTGAATACATAATTAATTTTAATACATATTTGATAGTTAAATAATTCCAAATATATTTGTTTAAAACTTTTTGCTTTGCCACAACTATTATAAATATAATGTGATCACTTAATGGGTATTGCATACCTTTCAATTGCCTGATGTTTCAACCATGTTACAGTCCCAGTGTAATATGTATGATAGTGTGTATTAAGTTATGACTATCCTTTCCTAGATACAAAATAATGTGTATTATGATTCACATATGTAATGATAAATATTTACTGTCTCTAAAAATGAATGTTTTTCTTCCTAATGGGGTATGTCTATACTGCTGCATTGGGTTAATTAATTAATCTATTTTGGAATAGTTAAGTTTTAGTGAGTTTATTGTTATAAAAAATAATATTACACAGTGTTTGCACTGTATGGTTTTTTTTGGGATATAAAGTATTTTTGTCTATGGATGATAGTAGTGGCAAGGACATCATCATCGAGTCTAGGCTATGTGTTTTATAGGTTTAGCACCTTACTGTGAAGTGGAGCAAGCAATATTTTTTTTGCCAAATTACTTACTAGTATTATAAGGAATAAAATCATGTTTTATTAATATTAACTTTTCAGAATAATAAGAGTATAAGAAAATATTAAAATGAATGATTAAATTAAAACAAATTATTTATGAGGCATGCACTAATATCAATTCTATTATGTTTGTTATCACATACACTTATATAACTGCATTGTAATAGGTATGTAACTATTTGTCAGTAACAGTAACATTTAAATAACTTAGATAACATGATACAATAGATATTTCCTTGTTGTTTATTTTCCCTTCTATCATTTCAGATTCGAGAAGTACTCAAAAAGTTAAATCCAGACCAGCTGCTGACATTGGTAAGTAAGGATAATGTCAATCTTGTTTATTTGCTTGTTATGCTATGGTTACTGGTTAAGTAGTTAGGGCAAACTACTTAACCAGTAGCCATGAAATGTTGGACACAAATTATTAAGGATAGCTTTCTGAACCCCTAATAATACATAGGATAACTTTGATTATGAAAAGTATACTGTATAAGTATTGATCTTGTAATTACCAGTAATAAATCATATTACTTTAATTCATGTGAATTCTGGGTCATCAACCCTCATCAGCCTTTCCCCAAACTAGGTTGGGGTCGGTTTTCAGTCTACTATGAAACGGCTGAATTTCGTTTTATTTTTTTGTGGAAAGACCTTATCCATCAGACCTCCAAAACCAAAATCATGTAGATAAATTATTGTCGGACTTCACCCTCTTGGTCAGCACATAGCCGCAAGCCCCCCTTGTTATTCTGGGTATTGTTTTATAAGTTAACCATTATTTTTCCTTTCTGTTTCTATAGTGTGGCACCAATACAGATAGTGGTCTGACTGCTAAAGAGGCTGTATTTGAAGGGATTGATGAGTAAGTATTAAACAACAAACAGATATTGGAATACTTCAGTGAATTCACTCGTTTTTTGTAACTATGTACGTAAACTTTGATCTAAATAATTGTAGCCGTTTACGAAATATGCATATTTATGTAAACGGTGGCTCCGTTCGAAAGCTAACGTAACGTAAAGTAACGAAAGCTTTTCTCACTTTTTAATACAATGTTTTTAACAATCCCACAACTCCATTAACAGACATGCCATAAATGCAATAAAAAAAACCGGACAAGTGCGAGTCGGACTCGCCCACCGCGCCAAATTCAGTTTCTAAAACTTATAATTAAGTACTTATACAACCAACCAACCAACTTACATAACCATGAGCGGTAGTACTTAAAATACAGAAGAGTTTACAAGGAAATTTTGATAATTTTTCTTGGGTCTGGACCTATAAACTTGCTTCTTAATATAAAATTGATGCAATGGTATTATTATCTTGATGAATCTAACATAGAAATTAAAAACAATGAGCAGTTAACTATTGTATTATACTGATATGAGAGTTTAGAACTTAGAGAGAGACTTAGAGTTTTTTTGTTTACATGTCTTATCCATGTTTTATAATAACCTCCTTAAAATTTGATCAATACACTATTTTTTAGGAGCATTACTGAATAATATATTTCTATCTAATTGCGCATAAGATGCGTTAGTAAAATGTTGGTTAATTTGATTAAATCTTTGTATAAATATTTTATTTTTACATATTCCAGATTCAAAGTTGACAATGAAACGTTATTCCCTATTATCGCCGAACTGTAAGTATATCATTCACGTTATCTGATTATATAGATTGTTATGATCTTTCTGCATGTTGCTTAAGTAAATATAATATTTTAATACCCCTTATATTTTACTGCTACTATTTGTTCATCAATATCGCTGTAATCCCTATTATAATTTAACAAATTATAAGTTTGTTATCTTATATAGTTTATTGCATACTTGTTTCTAACGAAAAGCCCTAAGAAAAGTGTGGCAATAAGATAAAAATATAAGTATTCTTTTTTATGTCATCGCTTCCTTTGTTTTTTACCTACATATATTTAATCAGACCGGTTTGCCTACAATTCCTTACGACAACTACTACAAATATCTAGGCTGTTAAAAATATTATGTACCCCAACAGACTTCGTTCTGACAAAAGTTATTAGCCTGTAAAAAGTAATAAACCTTTTTTCAGAGTTATCACTTTTCTTCGAACTTTATTTTGGGCTGGCTTAAAAAAAGATTAATACCAGCCTAATCAACTTGATGGTATACCAAAGATCATCCTAACGCGCCTTTGTTTTGTATTGATTGACGTCAAATGTTCGACAGTTAGGGACAGGTCTTTTACTCTGTGATTTGTATGGGAAAAGTGTTGTTTCTACTGTGGAGGAACGGGTGTCATGTCCCTCCAACACAAAGGGAGGATCCTCCGACCAGGCGAGGTGATCATGCCTGGCGGGCCGCGGCCCCCAACGGTTGATGTTGGGAAGTTGTATATATGCTAATCGGCGAGGGAATTCTTTATATCGCGATACAGGATTAGCAATTCTTATTTCAGTAGTTACTCCGTAGTTCGGTGTGTCTTCATTAGATGGCGTTGTAGTATGTTTCTGTTTTTTGTATGTGGGAGTCGCCACACTACTATTTTCTCGCAATTTTTACGTTTCTTCTCTTTACAAGAATCTTCCTTTTGCCCAAACGAAAATATGAAAAAAATTAGCAAAATTGAGCCACTCAAGTTTTGAGCTTAGCTATACATTTCGACATTTATTTTTATTTAGATATATTACTATGATCAATAGCCCAAAAAGAAAGTGGTGTTTTTGCAGATTTTTTAAATATATAGAAAACAAGTTTTAATAACCTACTTGAAATCTAACATGTAGTAGGTACCTATTTAGTTCCTCGACGTACAAAAATAAAAAATATATTAATTAACTCACATATAACGGATTTACATAGTATTTTTATCAGAGGTCATAAATCTCTAAACTTTGCATAGCGTAAATGGTATGTTAATCAATGTATATTTTATTACAGGCGCGTTATCAAGACTCCAGAGGAAATTGAAGTCATGCGATATGTGTGTAAAGTATCGTCAGATGCACATAAACAGGTTGTTCATTTTTTAATTGCATTTTTATAAAAGATTAAATTAGTAGTTGTCCTGTAAACTTAACGTTTGAAAATTGTTTTTAAATATTTTAGATGTGTGATCACACCCTGAACTGCCCCTATGATACTAGTGGATTCGATTCCCATATTATCAAGTCTCTCGATTCTAACAATAGTATAAAAACGGCGAAAGTCACTTTGCTTAGTATGCTTCAACGCCTTGACTACTCAACTGGTTCAATGTAAGGTTCAACCAGATACTGTTAACCAAAATAAATTGTTACTACCGCAATCAATTGACGCTTTGATTGCATATTTCATGGATTGATTCCCTAATCATATTACCAAATATTTATGTAAGTAACGAAGTTGTGCAGAACTTTAAATTCTTCACCTTTTTTAAATGCCTATTAATATATTCTTCTCTAATAGGATTAGTGCATTTAAAATAAGAAAAAATATACAATCAAGGTTAGCCAAAGGCTTAGACAGTAACTCGTAAGTCGGTAATAAACTCCTGTAGAACTTTCTGTAAGTTTCGGTATAAATAAAAGCCCCAGAATTTAAATAAATGTAGACTTTTTTCTTTATCTTCTGTAACAGGTGATGCTCTACGTAAAACCTGGCCTAAAAGAGTATCAATGTGAGTCAGTATTCTTGGACCACTGTTACCGAGTCGGTGGGTGTCGTCACGTTTCGTACACTTGTATCTGCGGCTCGGGAGATAACGGAGCCACACTGCACTATGGTCACGCCGGTGCGCCTAACTCTAAGATGCTCGAAAATGGCGATATGTGGTATGATTAATGTATTGTAATTCTTATACTTCTCAGCCGAAAGACGTCCACTGCTGAACAAAGGCCTCACCCAAGATTTTGGGCCTTTGGATTAAGCCTTAGAGATATTCCAGAAGAAAAACAACTAGTGTCTTTGTCAAAGTTTAAACATAAATATTCCTAGAAATGTAACCAGTGTTAATATCAGTTCTGACTATTATTTTTTAGAAAATTCATCTGGAAATTAAGTTATGCACGATAAGTAATTACCTTTTGAAGGTTTTTTCTCAGAATAACCTAGTTAGGTAGTTTTAAGATAAATTTGTTGTTAGTTATATTATATTATTATAATATTTATTTTTTTATGTCAGAGTGGGCAGACGAGCAGACGGGTCACCTTATGGAAAGTGACCAGATGGAACATCTGCAACTCAGGAGTCACAAACGCGTTGCCTGCCTTTTAGGAAGGAGTACGCTCCAATTAAGTGATTAGTAACATTAGGGTAACTAAATATTTCAAATTACTTAAATATTAATTGTTATTGATCTAGGAGCGATTTTGTTTTAGCACATAAATCTTTTAATTGCAATGAAAATTATGTTTTTAAAATGCGATTTTATTTTAGTGCTAAACAAGATTTTAAGGTGTTTAAGTAATTTTATATATAAAATTCTCGTGTCACAATGTTCGTTCCCGTACTCCTCCGAAACGGCTAATCGGTCAAGCCGTCTCTTGAAATTTTGTGTGCAAGGTGTGCAATTTTGCGGGTAGGTCTGAGAATCGGCCAACATCTATTTTTCATACCCCTAAATGGTAAGGGTGACCGATCCCTAATTTTTGTTTGTTTTGCAAAATACAACGTTTGCGGGGTCAGCTAGTGTGTTCATAAAAATGTTTATGTTAGGTTAAAAATGATTTTGCCTAGCTAGCTTGTTCAGAACGAAACACTGCGTCGGTAAGTGATAGGTAGGTAACACATAAGTTTTATATACCTACTGATCAATATTTTTGTGTATCTGTACATACAAATAAATAAAATTGGAGTGTCTGTTTGTAATATTAAAATAACCGCTTTTTACTAAATGCATATGTATGTTTACACGGTACATATGCCAAAATATCATTTTTTACAATTTTTGTCTGTCGATTTCGACGGGACTTTTTTTAGACTAGCTTCTCCCCGCGGCGTTGCCCTCGGTTATAACAACAAACGCGGGTAACACCGCGGGTTTTAGCTAGTTGTTCATAAATCTGTTACTATTTACAGTTACTATTTACAATACTATTATACAAGTAATAAAAATAAAATAGCTCAGTGCTCGTGGCTAAGTGGTAACCGAATAAGTTAACACATTGCAATCCTAGCCAGCTCAGTCTATGGACCCCTGATTGACCCCCCTATCAAATGTACCTTAAAGTAAAGTAATTTCAATTATTTATGTAATAAATAAATTAATATTTGATATATTACAGTTTGTTTGACATGGGCGGCAACTACGCCGGGTACGCTGCTGACATAACGTGTTCATTCCCCGCCAACGGCAAGTTTACTGAAGATCAGAAACTCATCTATGAGGCTGTGCTGGCTGCAAGGAATGCCGTTTTAAGGTGATTATTCATATGTAATAAAGTAGACAGTGAATTATCTGTTATCTCTTAAATTTTAGGTTGGTTTGTGTACTCTTACAAAATTCAAAAAGTTCTGCACTGATGGATTGAGCTTAAACACGCTTTATAGATGGTTTTTATCTATTTTTTGCGTCACTTTTGTACCTCGTTTGTCATCAATGGGGATTTTTTTAAAACAACACCTAATTAGAAATATATCCGGTGTCGCCAGGAGACTTTACAAACGTTCATGAAACAGACACAAAGAACACCCAGGCTTAGAACCACAATTTGTAGATCACACAAAGTGTTGTCCCATCTGGGGATTGAACTCACAACATTCAGCGTGGTAGGAAACGGCAAGGCGACCGCTTAAACCACTATGCCATCCTTGCAGTCAATGCAAGAGTCATGCTTCGGCGCATATGGCTGGACTGTTGTTTTTCCCTGACCTAACCAAACTGCCTCAATCTGTTTTGTCTCTTGAGTGGCAGGTGTCAATAGGCCGCCGCGCGGACGGATTGCCTGTTGGTAAGTGACTGGCGGTAGTCACTTACCAACAGGCAACCCGTCCGCTCGATTGTCACAAATACCATAAAAAAGGAGTGGGCATGCAATTATAGTCCTAGTCACAATTATCAAATAACTAGCGCTTCGCACGGGTGCAATGTAGATACCATTAATATAGTGTCAGTGTGGAGTAATTAATTATACTATTATTATGAAAAGACTATACTACGGGACATCTTTATATCTATATATATAAAAATGAAACCCGTTTTCCTTGGTCACGGCATCACGCGTGAATGGCTGGACCGATTTCACTAATTCTTTTTTTGTTGTATTTGTTATTATTAGGAGAAGGTTCTTACGGCAAAATTTTTTTAGGAAATCTCTCAGAAATATTAAAAAATATACATTTAATTTTGCATATTTAAAAAAACGCGCGTAACGAATGTCAATGGCTGCGTTCAGGTTTACTAAGTTCTGAGCAGGGCTGACTTTATCTACCAAAAAATTAATTTTAGACACACTTAAATATGTCTTGCATTGTTTTTTTATTATATTTTTTTCATTATAGATTAAAAAAATAAATAATATAGTTACTTTAAGTTGTTGCTACAAGATATGCTAAGATCTGCCAAGAACTTAGTAAACTTGAACGCAGCCAATGTCATTCACAGCCATAGACTATATTGAAAGAGCGTTGTTTGTTCGGAAACGTGGTTACTTAATTAAATTCTAATTAATTTTTGAAAATAACTCGCCACGGAATAGTTATGTATAGATAAATATTATTAAATGTTCCGATTTTATGACGTTACTAAGGTAAAATATAGGTAGGCGCACCTAAGTGTGGTCTGAGTATATGAGTTTGATTTCAGAACGCATTATACAAACTTCGCATAACCTATTTAGTAATCTGTGGTAGTACATTGGCTTTATAAAAAAAAATCTGTGGTAATCTGTTATAGTGATGTGACAACTCGGAAAAAATATTACTCGATTTAACTCGAGTGAAATCCAATCATTTATTTAAGTATTTAAAATAATATTTACTATCAATCAAACTATTTTTATAATCAGTAATCACAATATTTTCAAGAAAATAAGATAATTAGTATCACAAAGAATATTTTTTCCTTAGCTAAATTATATGCTTGAAATTTTTTTCGAACTCGAATTAGAGAATATTCAACTCGAGTAGATTCGAGTTACGTCCAACTCGAGTACACTCGGGTTAGGTACTCGAGTTAACCATCACTAATCTGTGACATCACACCCATAACCGCGCCAACAATAAGTTTATAAAGTTTTTGTTAAAGTTTGTTTTGTTTTAAAGACTAAGAAGATTTTTGTTTGCTAATAAGTGTTTGTTAATCACGGTAAGTTCACAGCTTCATATTGATTTTTAGTAACTTTTGGTGACTACACAATACTATAATTTGGTATACATGGTCCTACAGAAAATGTATGAGAGCTTTTATTTTCAGTTGGATTTTCGTTTTTAACAATGCCACCAACCAGACGTAAAAGCTTAGGCCGCAGAACTCGAAATACGGCAAGTCAAAGAAATATAAGAGCAAATCAAACTGATGAGCAACGCGAAGCGCGAAATGAACTTGAACGGAATCGATATCAAGATAGAAATGTTGTGTTTAATCCCCACAGAGCTGCATTCAGTTATAATGTGGCAATTGATTACAGTTCAGATCAAATTGTTGCTATTGGACTAAATCCATGTTTTTCACATGGCCAATTATATGTCGCCTGTTCCCGTGTCGGAAAACCATCAACATTATTTATTTACGCGCCAGAACATAAAACTAAAAATATAGTTTATCAAAAAGCATTAGAGTAGAGAGAAGCAGTGAAGGGTACAGAGACTATTAGTTGCTTTCTAGAGCGCGCGTGGTATTGAGCTGTGTTTAATTAAAAATGCCAAGTTGTTCAATAGCGATTTGTAAAAACATTAGTGGAATTATTGAATCCTATGGAATAAACACTATTATGAAGTATATATTTTCTTTTTTATTTAATTAAATTAGTAAGGTCCTTTTCAGGTATAGCGAGACCAGGGAATTATGGATTCATTTTTATATGGAGGATATTATAGATTACAGTTCAAATTGAATAGGTACTCATACCTAAGATAGGTCAGCTATACAAAATAAAGTAGTGCATCATTGCTACGCTAAGGCGGTACGAAGTTCGCCGGGTCAGCTGATTAAAAATTT